TACACTTTAAATGGATGAACTGCATGGTATGTTCATTATAGCTCAATGAGAGCTGTTAAAACAACTGAGAATAATGGTTGCCTACAGGGATAACTAGGTGGCTAGAGATATTTTTCTTTTGAGTTCTGAATGACTACCTATTAAAAAGCTCAACTGTAATGAACAGTACCCCTCCTTTTGGTTTTATCTTTTACTTATTTAAGTTTTCTCACAGTTTTCCCCTCTTCTCTACTTAATTTCAGCCAATTTCCACTTTGTTTTTTTAAGTTGACAATCATTATTTGATTACCTTTTGATGCCCTGATTTCTGGTTTTATTTTATTATGCTATAAAATGCAGCCAGAAAAACCTTCACTTTGGGGGATTACCGTTTTGTGTGCAGACACAACAGTGACTGATTTTTGGAAAATGTTCCTTGGGGCCTAAAGAGAAAAATGTGTAATTTTTATTTTTAAGATATATATATTAGGTTGATCTTTTTTATTTGATGAAGTGCTGAAAGTGGTATACTAAAGTCTTCTATTATAATAGTTGGATTATTTGACCCAGTCTGAGAATTTGTCTCATAGGGAATTACATTTTTGACAAATGATGTTTGGTTTTATGTTTTCCATTATAATTTCACGTTTACTTTTCTGAGGTTTTTTTTTTTACATTCTATTCCTTTAGTGCTTTTTTACTTTAAATACATGTTTTTAAATATGATTTATTTTCTGTAACTTACAAACTACTGAGGAATCTCAGATGATTTTTTTTCTTCCAGTTTGAGATGTAATTGACATCAGCATTATATAAATTTAAAGTGTACAGCATAACCACTTGACTTCCATCTATTGTGAAATTAAATAGCTTAGCTTCCTTTCAATTAGAAATATACTCTATACACCACCAACCAATTCAAGACATTTAGAATGCTTTTCCTTCTTCAGTATACTCAACCCAATCCCTGGTCCCAGACAAGGCAAGACCTTTAGAATGATTTCACTTATCCACCCACCCCACCCTCCTCCTGAGTTTTTTGGAAATAACTTAGCACTTTTAGATCCAAACTATTAGGTTTTTCCTTTATAGTACAATCTTTCAAAATAATTTTTAATTGAACACTTACAATTCATATTGTCATCTTACATTTTATCACTGCTCATCATTGTTTCCTTTATTCATTATCTTCCCCTAACTTGACACCTTTGTTTTGGTCTAATATTTTTTCAAAACGTTTCCTGTGGATATATATTTCTAAACCATTGCATTATCTCAAACTGTCTTTTCCCTTCAAATTTTAATACTCATATTAAGTGGGACAGATTTAGACTTCTGTCCTTTCTGTCAATAATCTACAAATATTCCAGCTTTCATTGTTGTAGGAAACTAAGTTTTACTTCTTTTGTAAATAGCCTGTTCAGCTGACAACCTAATATTTACAAGTCAGGAATTTCACCAGATTTTGGTTAGGTAAGAGCAGTTTTCTCCTATTAATGCTGCCTGGCACTTTCAATCTACAAACTCTTATCTTCAGCTGTTTTTCTCCTCCTGAAATGCCTCCACATATACTGGTTTCCAGCAGTGTCTATTCTTTTATATTCTCTACCAAATTTTAAACTGTGAAAATCTTTTAAGTTTTAGAAACTTCCCCCCTAGTTTCACCTCTTAAGAATTCTCTTCTCTTTCATTAATCTAAGTCCACAGACACAACTTTTTCTAATTTCACTGGACTCTACTTTGAACTACTATGACTCTTTAACCTTATTTGCAATATATGTGTATATATATTTTATAATAACTGTTCTCTCTTCATTAGCAGTTAGTGAGAGAGGAAAAAAGAAATTTTGTATCAGCCTGTTTTCCACTCAGAAGTTTGTGAACAGCATCGAGGTGTTTTTTTTTTTTTATTGTTTGGCAGTATAAAGTAATGATTAAAAGCATGGGTTCTGGAACCCATAGGAAAGTTATTTAAAAGTATGGGTTCTGGAACTCATAGGAAAGCAATCTTTTTTATTTGATCTAATGCCGAAAGTGGTGTACTAAAGTCTATTATAATAGTTGGATTATTTGACCCAGTCTGAGAATTTGTCTCATAGGGAATTACATCTGTGCTCTGTCTCAGGCTCCTCATCTGTAAAATGGGTAATAGGAGTATCTAGGCACAGAGCCTGTTACATAATAGTATCATCTATATTGGTGCTTATTAAACAGGCAATTAAAGGTTGCTAGAGAAAGGTAAAAAGTAAAAATCTGTAGGAACGAACAATGTCACAGAAAAATCCCAAAGGCTATAACCCAAATCTCTGTGGTAATGTAACAAGGGTAGAACAATGAGTAAGGATGGCTAAGCACTACCTATCATCACTACTGATGAAAGCTCTAAGCACATCAGAAACATCATCCTTTTTTTAAATTAAGGTATCATTGATATACACTCTTATGAAGGTTTCACATGAAAAACATTGTGGTTACTGCATTTACCCGTATTATCAAGTCCCACCCATGCCCCATTGAAGTCACTGTCCATCGGTGTAGTAAGATGCCAGAGTCACTACGTCTTCTCTGTGCTACACTGTCTTCCCCATGACCTCCCCTACACCAAAAAACACCATTCTTATTTATAAAAACTGACATAAAAAATGAGAAACAGAGGCAATTCAAACCTCTAAACCCACAAGTCCAAAGTGGCAAACACTAGCTACTTGTGGCTACTTGAATTTAAAGTTCAACACAATTAAAAATTTAGATGAGATGAACTTCACACTTCAAGTGCTCAAAAACACATGTACTCAAGGATCCTTACTGGACAGCACTGCTCCAGTGAGAAAACTTAAGAAAAAAAATTTTTTGAGTTAATGGAACTGAACCTTAGGCTGTATCGAACGCAAACTATTAAAGCGTGTGTGGGGAGGTCCAGATCGTAAAGGCAGTAACTTGGACAACTTTAATCTTGTACTGAGTTCAAATGCCAAATATGCCACTAACTACTTGCAGGATCCTAGCTATGTCACTAAATCTTGGGCAGCACAGTATAATGGTAAATAGCATATAATCAATCTCTGGACTACTTGGATTTCAATTCCAGCTGTTACTAGCTGTATAACATTGGGCAAGTTAACTTCACATCTCTTGTTATCTTTTACAGTAATACTTACTGCCTAGAGACACTTAAGATTACTTGTACAAGCGCTTAGAACAACACCTGGCATTATTAAATGCTACAAAAGTATGTCCCTAATAAAATTTAAAAAATCTCTCAAGCTTCTATTTCCCCAACTTCAAAATAGGTAAGATAAAACTTACTCTATTTCACAGGTTATGATAATGAATATGAAAATAGTATGTAAATTACAGTATGTAAAAGCACAAAAGGAAGGGGGTAGGAGCTTTATTTTCCACCTTCTTTCATCTCCCACGAAATCCATAAAATTGTTGTGCTAACAGACATTTTACAAATGTTTATATTTTCTAATACAACTGGAGCATTACTCTCTAGTCATAAAGGGGTAAACCTGAATAAGGCATAGAGTGCTTATTGAAGGAAAAGCTCAGAGTAGAGATTACCTAACTCGATTTGAGGTCTTAAGAAGCAATATGCATTATGCTGTAATAAAAACGACCAAGATCCCAAGTCATTAACCATTACAGTAAGCCTCCATGCCTAAATCCTATCCCTTAATAAACAAATAGACTTTGTCATAGACACTTATATTTGTGAGAACAAAAACTGCTCAAGTTTACAATTAACAGGGAGCATAAACAGGCTAATTCGCTTCAAATATCCTCTTTTACAAGCCGAAAACAGAAGCACAAACCAGCAAACACTGGAAATCTCATTAGAAATCTTTATATAGAGACCCTGTTCCCTGTAAGGATGACATCTGAAAGGCTATTTGATAAATCGCAAACCAACACCTGATCAATTGCTCAAATGCAATTTATGAAAAATCTTGCCACCAGGGTGCAGGACAAGATGATCCGGCACACACAAAATGGGAATTTGTCTTCTGCTGAAATAAATGTTAAAGGCTGTCAGCTGTTAGAACTTGTCCCACGGGAAACTGGAAGCCAAATTCTTTCTAGAGTTTGCGGTTTCTGTGAGCTGATGGGATGGCAAAATCAAGGAAAGACAGTAAAAGGAAACAGAAAAGGCCCCTTTTTGGAATCACTGGAAAATACTACGGTTGCTCCAACAAATGTTTTAAGTATCTTCACCAGAAGCCATATATTTTCGGTAGTAGTAGACAATCAACACAGAGTAGAAGACTGAAATTAAAAGAGGACAAGAATCAAAGAATCTGAGTTGGATGGAACCTTAAAATTCATCAGGCTCAAAAACCCCTAAAACAGGGAGTTCCCAGTACCCCAAAGGTCCTCCCATCCCGATCACGGGACACATTGTAATTTTGGGGTAGGGGAAAGCAAAAAAAAACGAGAAAAAGGGGATCAGAAAGGTACTGGCCTATGGACAGTTGCAGAATACTCCCCTAGGACGCTCGCCTGCCCACCAGTCCCTCCGCCCGTCTCTTCCCCCACCCCAGCCTAGGGAGGAGCGCGCACGCGCAGCAAGTAGGTGCTGCGCGTGGCGACGCGCAAGCGTAAAGTACGGAGAAACAATGAGCTTTGTTGCCGAGGCGGCAGTGGGGGGCCGAAGAAAAGGGTACAGGAGGGTGGTGAAGGGCCTGGAGGGACGGGGGAACAAGAGAAAAAGTGCTATCCCGGCAACCCTCGCGCGCACCACGGAAGACCCGGATAGAGTGCTGCGAGATCCAAATCATAAATAATAATGACAATGAGAAAAAAAGCGACGGCCATTTCTCAAGAGAAGAAAGACTAGGTCGGTCCAAGTTCATCCCTCAGACTGCTGAAAGAGTTAAGGAATAAAGGAGACAATACGGGGCTTGGTGGCCAACAACCCGGGGGGCCCGCTAGGCCTCTCAGCCGTCGCCGAGGTGCTGCCCCTCGACCGCCAGGGCCGCCGCACCCTTCTCGCCGCTCCACCCGAAAGAACCCCTCACCCAGTGCACGGCAGCGGGACGGCAGCCAGTAAATCCGGTCGGCCTCCGCGGATCTCCACAGGCAATGCCGCTCCCCCACTCGACGCGCGCTTCGCTCGCCGCCTCCCTTCTCCAGTCCAAACAAACACCCCAGCCCGGAAGTGACTTCACTTCCGCCGCCGTCGGCCCCCGCCCTCTAGATCTGTCAGTGCTGCCATCAGAGGCCACTAGAGCGCGCGACTGTACAAAGTTCTCTTCGTCATTCGGGCTGCACACGTGTGCATGCACAACGGCAGTACCTCTGTACCCTGGTGGCCGCAGGGTGTACTGGGCATCCTGTCTAGTTCTCTCTGGAGACCCGAATGGGGCCGGGCTAGTGCCCCCACCCGCCCATCCTTCAATAATGACGGTCAGTGAGTCGGGGAGCTGTGAACTGAAGACCCTGACAAGATGCGGCCCTTTACAGATCTCAATGATTACCTCACACACACTGACACCAAGTAGACATCTAGGTAACGACAGCGCACTTACCACACCGGGGCACACACCAAACATGATAGTGTAACCCAAACAGTGACATGCACCGAGTCACACACAGAGATACAAATCAATATAAGCACAGAAACAATAAAGACACAGAGGTACACTTAACTGATGTATAAGCACTTGCACTCAAGACACATTCAGGCACAGACATTTTTGAAGCTAGACCGTCACACACGCAAATTATGAATATATGGTTTCTAGGCGGTCTGTGGAACCTTTTTGTGACTAAAAGGGAACACCCTATCCAGATATAGAATTAAACCTCAGGGTCCAAGATTTCCTGGTCCATGATCCTGGATGTACCGCCTCCCATCTCCATTCTAATCCATGCTTCCTTGCTTTATAACTGGCAAGCCCCAATACATGTTTTTAGTGACACTAATCAAGGCAGTTTACAGCATATTAAAAAACGTTTTACTATGAATATGCTATATTTGAAAGGGGACACACTTCTTCCCTCTGGGGAAGGAAAAAGGGACAAAAATTTACCTTTTTACTCTCTTGCAAAAATTGAATTTAAAAAGAAACCACATGCTTTTAATATATACTTAAAAAAAAATCCCTCCATGGAAAGGATTGAATCCCCAAGAGTACTCCCCTTTAGGGCCACTTCGTTCACTGCAAAGTCAGCTTTGAGTCAATCCAAAGAAATGAAGAACACAGTTGCTCTGCCATAGCCCCTGGGTCAACCACTTGGCCACATTTGCAGGTCTGTATCCTAAACTGGGAGGAAGGGTTTGGCTTTGCTGACCACTGAGCAAACAGCTCTGGGAGGAGGTGGTGTTTTACCAAGTTTTTGGAGTATGATTCATCCAAATAACTTGGAAGATAAGCTATCAACTTGAGACTGGAAGCACGTGCAGGAAAGAGAACAAAATTAAAACAGCCATTTAGATCTGTAGCTCACCTGAACACTTCTAGAAGCTAATCGTGAGATAAATAAAACTGGTTGCTTCGAAACACAAACCAGTTAGTTTTATCAAAAAATCTTTGATAAATCCTATTTTATTTTATTCTAAATCATTCAAAGGCTCAGGTTTTTCCCAAAGGGGCTGATCTCAATTCCTAGCTCAATTGTAAAGCAGTGAGTTTACTATTTTGGTTGAGAAAGGTTTATGGGCCCAGAGTACTTCTTTGGTATCCTCTGGATATCCTTTCTTCCAAGGATCCTCTGCTCACTTACAAAACGGGGTTCATGATGTTCATGCTATACCTGGATGGTAGCAGTGATGATCTACGACGGGAGAACTGTCCATAAAGGCTGACAACAGGTTGCCAATGATGCAGTCACTGCAACAGAACTGTCCGATACCCAGTTTAACCCCTCCCTGTAGACCAGAGCTATTGTCAAAATGTGAACTGTGTAGACCTGACTCAAACAATCCACATATAGGAATCTACCCAAAGAAATTGGACTTTAGACAGATAGTTATAAACAAATAAAATACCTAAAAGCTTTTTAATAGGGAGTTGGTTAAATAATTGCATAATAAAACATTAAAAAGATGCAGTCACTAATATGGGATACTTTTTTAAAAATGCTGCAGAATAGCACCTTCTTCTAAAATTACAGGAACATGTTAGATTTCATTTGAGGTGTGACTTTTCAATTTTATAAATGCAATTGAATCTTTAATGGAAAATTCAGAAATAGGAAAGTGTACAGAAGACAGTAAAATCCTTTAAAACCTGACCACATATACTATTACAGATAATGCTGTTCTATCAGGTTCCTGCATTTATACCCATACATGCCTGTTTATATAATGTAATTTGGTAATGGCCTTGTCCCTATGTTCATTTGTTTCAGTGTGGAAGCTGGGCAGAGCATGGACCCCAGCACTGCTGAGTACTGAGGAAGAGCCTAGCACTGTAGAGTAAGCATCAGTCCCGCTCAGTGTTTACAGTTCAGGTGAGGAGACAAAGCATCAACGAACTTGAGTGCCTGACATGCACCAGCACTGATCTAGACACGGAGGATACGTGAGGTAGTAACCGGCATGACCGTTTCATATATTCTAGTGGTTTAAACAAGATATACCGCCTTTCTCGTTAGGAAAGCTACTATCAAAGTGCTGGAAAGGCTGTGGAGAAAATGGAGCCCTTGTGCAGTTTGTGATAATGTAAAATGGTAAGTCACTGTGTAACAGTACAAAGGTTCCTCAAATAATTTTAAGTAACATTACCATATGACCCAGCAATACTACTTCTGGGTGTATGTATCCAAAAGAATTGAAAGCAGGGTATCAGATTTTTGTACACCTAAGTTCATAGCATTATTGACATTTAAAACATGGAAGCAACACGTGTCTATCAACAGATAAGTGGATAACCAACATGTAGTCTACACATAAAATGGAGTATTTAAGCTTTTAAGGAGTAAATTCTGTAATGCAGTATCATTAATGAAACTTGAGGACACTACGTTAAGTGACTTAAGTCTCAAAGACATACTGGGTGGGGGGAAAAGAACTGAGTTATTGTTTAATGGGTGGTGTGTTTTACAGATCCAAAAGTTGAGAATAAATCGTGATGGCTCACAATGTGAATACCATTGAGCTGTATGTATATTTAGAAACGGCTAAGATGGTAAATTTTGTGTATTTCACACAAAAAACTAGCTTAAGAGGGCCAAATTTATACAGGGTTAGACAGGATGAGCAGGCTTTAGAAAGTAAGGTGTAGATGCTAAACAAGTCAAGCTATAGTGCACAACTGCTAAAGCCTTTTGGTATTTGTTGCCAACTCTTAAACTTAAAAAAATCTCAAAACAGCCAATGAGAAGCCACCGCTTCCAATTTAACAACCTTAGCAAAGCTGGGCAAATAGGAACTAGTCCTGCTTTTTTGATAGGCAGGTACAATGATTGAAATTTGTCCTAATCAAACATAGGACATTCCTTCTGCTTGTTATATATGCCAAATGGATCAGGTCCTTAGCACCAATACTTCACCCGACACAGTACCACATAAAGGGCAATGATATCACAGTTCAGATAATTAAACCTCTAATGCCTGTTTTCACCCTGAACCTACATGCTATTGGGGTAGGCATGTTAACTTGTCTACTGTACCCAGTATTGTCCCCTTTTCATTTTCACATTCCTTATTGTACATTTGGCTTTACAAAGTTCTTAAAATTGCATGGAAATTATAAAACTGAACCAATTATGAAGTTTATCAACAGGTTAGATGTGATAGCTATTTCTATTTTGTTCACTCAAAAACTTCAGCAAATTAATTATCAAGCTCCTATGTTGTGATTAAGAATGGTACACAGCAAAAGAAATCATCTAGCCACAAAGAACAAACTCCTATTTCTGCCCCACTGACTTCCCTTTAAATGTCTGATTGTATCAGGTCCTCAGAAAACTTTTCATGTTCTGAGAAGATGCAGGGTAGAATTTGGAAAGCAGTATCTGAAATGGGGTGTCCCCTTTTGATTACTTTTTAAAAAATGCCTTACACAGGCTCCCAAATGGCAATTATTTTCGGGTTCCCCTTAGTTTTAAGGTTTGGAAGAGAATCATCAAATCCAGGCACCTGCCTAGAAAAACACTTTAGCGATAGGTAAAGCAATTATTCTAAGTGTAGCCTCCATCCTTAACAGCACCATCACCTGTTAACTCTTTAAAAATGCAGTATTATTACGACACACCTTAAATCTAGCCAATTGTAAATTCTAGGCGCAGGGCCCAGCAATGTTTTAACAGTCTCCAGGTAACTTTGATGCTAACATTTGAGACCCACTCATCTCAAGAAAAATAATTCATAATCACTTTGTACACATGATGGTTCTAAGAATCTTGGCCTTACCACCCTTGACAACCATATGGGACTTGCATCAGAGTGGAGGGGTGCTCTGACTCCAGCCAAACCAAAAGCTCAGGGTGCTTGCCAGGGAATTTCAAACCCACTATACCATTCAAGACTTTAGCTTTCAGCTATATCAACAAGCTGTATTCTATGATGGAGACTGAGGACACAAGAGCTGTTCTTAGTCCTAGTGCAAATTATTTTAACAAGTTACACAGACCCTACCAAATATTTCTTATTCATCTTTTAAAAAATGTTCTGCAGTCTTCTTGCAGATTTCCACTACACACCATGACCCTGTTTTGTAACAATTTTTATTCATGGTGATTTTATATCAAGTCAGTAATAAGGCTAGCCAACTCAAGCCTTAAGCAGGGACACTCTCAAACCCAAATTTATCGGCAACAGGTTAAAACAAGTAACTGTAAAACTCAAAATGTTCCTTTAAGTTTCCACCATGCAGGATTAAGATTAAAGGCAATGATAGTGGTGGGGAAAACATTCTTAGACTTTACAGTAAATTTAAGAGGAAACATTCCTATTAAGGTTTGCCATAATTTTGGAAATAGCAGTTACAGATTTATCAATAGCAGCTCATTTATAAGAAATTTCTGCTTTCTAAATGTTGTCACACAAATGAAGATACTAAATACTCTAGCAAACTGGTACATCCAACAAAGTAGGACCTACCAAAAAAAAAAAAAAAGGTAACACCAACAGCAAACAATTAGTGATCCTGTTGTATACATAATCATTTGTATGTATGTAGCTGCTGTTAGTTAAAAGCTGGAATTAAACAATAGTGGTAATTAGTGAAGGCCAAAATTAAACTGCAGGAGTAAACTGGCAAGGATTTTTTGTGCATGTTACCTTTAAAAATGTCATCTGCTCTTCCGAGACAGACTGTATCTATTTGCTATATCCTTTAATACACGTGGACCCAAGAATCTCAAAGAGAATTCCTAAAAAGGCATTTTTTAAATTAAAAATTTGCTTGACAACAGATTCCTCCTATCAAGAATCCCAACGTATTCTGAATGACTGATAAGCTAATTCTTGCTATTCCATGTCATTTCCAATTTTATTGTTAAATACTGAGATGGGTCTAAATAAGAGCGTTTTGCTATTTCTTCACCCTTAGCATTTTAAACTCCCAAGGTTTAAAAACCCATTTTTAGTTATGTAACAAGAACAAGAAATCCACCAGCACAAAAAACATTTAAAACTCAGTTCTTTAGTAAGCAGTCTTTAGAACACTCTAGATGAAAACAGCAATAATTTGTTAAAGCATGCAGAAGTGTAACAGTGAATAAAAACCATAACCAACGAATATGTTAACATTCCAAACATGTATAACCAATAAACATGACCTAGATTTTTCTTTTTTTATTGGTATTCACTTCAGAAACTTGAATCCACAGATATAAGCAGTATATAACCAGAAAGTTACAAGTAAACACAGATTATACATGCAAATTTCTGTTCACAAAAGTCACATGTGCAGGTATACGAATTAGAAGCGTGCGTCTAGATTATGGCCAAACTTTTTAAAATGCAGAAATGTAAAATTACATCTTGAAAATATGAAGAGATGGTCTACACACTTCAAAAATCAAATGTTGCTTATACCAGATGTATGACAACTACAGGATTCAAGTGACAAGCAGTAAGATCTCAAGAAATTAATACTGGTCAAAGAGAACAGGAATATTCTTACATTTCACTGAAAATACATTTGACTACTAGAATACAAAACCTAGCAGGAATTTAGGGAAAAAAAATTACAAAATCTAAAGCCATTTACTTTTTATCACCTAAACAACAGCATGACATTAAAAGAAAACTGCACCTGCATTTTAATCACCAATCTCACATCAACGAAGTTCTCCAAAAATGAAACTCAATGAAAAAAAGCTTCAAACTCCAAACAAAAAGTCTGCAAGGCTCAGATTGAAATGTGGAATGTTTCAGATGAAATAAAAATACAATTGGTTTTGTTCTTTATTGAATGGAATCAAAAGTTTTGACATTTCTTTGAAGCTTGGAACTACTAAATTTCATTTCTCTTAATGGTTCTACATTTCTTAGTGGTGCAAGTTGTCCTAAGTAGCTTACAAAGTCAGTCTCTACAAAGTACTTCTGTCTGTTACCATTCTGATAAAACAAAAAACAATTCTTTATTAACTTAACCGTAGGTATATTTTTGCTATAACACTTAACACATGAACAGACATCTATTATTTTTCACTAAAACAAAAGAGTACAATAGTTTTCTTCTAACTATCAATATTGTATTTAAAAAAGGTTAACATTAAAAACAAAGAACCATTATTTTCTTTGAAATCATTAAGCTTCTTGCACATCTCAAGCTTCCTTCTTCTGCCTGCGTTCTTCTGCCAATTTATTCAGAAATTTCTGGAAAAAAAAATTACAGGGATGAAGTCACCTATGAAAAACAGAAAGGGACTAACTCCAAAATAAAAAAGTTCTATCCAAGTTTAGGGACTTGAGTGTAACTTAACCATAACCTTATCAATATTTAAAGATTCAGTTATTCTTTTTAGTCAGTATACAAAAAACTTAATTGGTTCAGAGGACACAATTAAGGCATGGGGGAAAAAATGGTAAAATGTGAAAAAGTTATTTAAACATGCAACTTACAGATAGGAGAACAACAAAGGCCATGGATTAGGTTAAAATGACATGCATTTATTTATTCAATGCCCCTTCCACTAAAGTAAGTGGGCACTTTCTTAAAGGGTCAGTAGTGAATTATTTTAGTGGGCCATACTGGTCTTTATTTCAACCACTCACGTCTGTTGTTGTAAGTGGTAAAACCAGCCACAGACTATACTTAAATGAAGATCCTAACTATGTTCCAATAAAACTTTATTTACAAAAGCAGATGCCTGGGTCACAAATGTACCTTACTGACCTCTATATCAGACCTCTAAGTTATAGAATTCCTGGACATCAGAGATCTGTTAAGACATTAATGGAATCACTCCCTTCACCCCAGAAATCAACAATCTAACCTACATCAAGTTTCTTTACTTTGTGCTAGAATTAACCATCCATAGTCATTGAAAACTGATGAGAGGGTTACAGTCATTATATCCTCAAAAAAGGGGGGAAATCCAATTAGTTAAGTATCAAGTCATTTATTATTAGCAAGATACTGTATTGCTTAATTTTTTAAATGAAGTTGACATAGTTCCTTTAAAATAGAAGGAAATAGAGCCATCTCCAACAGACTACCTAGAAAAAATTACAATAGCTAAAAAATGTTAGAAAGCATTATACGACTGTATCAAGCACCCAAACAACTTTTGTATTAGTTAAGTACTCTTCCAGGAAATACAATGTGCGCCCCCAAAAAGTTAAGTACTCTTCCAGGAAATACAGTGTGTGCCCCCAAAAAGTTAAGTACTCTTCCAGGAAATATAGTGTACGCCCCCAAACAGCTGAGTATCAAAGTAGATTAAATATTTTTATTAAATTGCTGCTACCATTGAAATTAACCACTTTTTCATGTATATGATGCTAAGATACAAAAAAACACAGTGAAGAACCCTTAAAATAAGTGATACAGCAAAGAACTGGACTTAGTTCCTAAATACCATCTGTCTAGTCAACACATAGAACATGTCTGATGACTCCAGTAACTCAATACTATATGAAGTAAAAACTAGGTTATCCACAGTAAGAACTCCTACTTTCAAGTTTTTTCCCATTATTTATTTCAATACTTAGTCCTTAAAGAAGCCACTAAGACAGGAAATTTCAAAAGATCGGAACAGGAATTTGTTACTCTTTATTCTGTTGTATTTTATTCACTTTACCTTTACCCTTACATCCTGTTGGTCATAAAGCTTACTGAAGAGTGTCATCACTAATAATTTAAAGTCCATGTAAAAATCAATTAAGTATGAACAGATATGGCACTTTATATAGTGAAGTTGAAAAGCTTTGTATTATTCTACTTAGCTTTCAGGCCTCCAGTATCTTCCAAACTAGAGAAATTACAGTCCAACATCCATCTGAAAATACTTAAGTAACTAATTGTATCAGCCAATTTATAACATGGTTAGAAATTGCTAAATTATCATCATTTAGAATGTACTAGAGAGGCTCAAAAGATGTTTCTAGGATTCATTAAACTGCTTAAGGCCCATCAATATATAAATAGGAAAATGTCATCTTGAGGATAAAGCTTTGTGCTGGGTGCACAAAAGGTCCTATACACATTTTACTTTCTGTAAACTTATATGATTTGTTAGTTTTCACAATAGAACTCTCTTCTTTTAGATTCAGCCTTACCTTTAATTTCTGATAATGAGGAAGGCTGCTGCAATGAGTATTCTTTGCAACTTCTTCATTTGTATAAAAGAGTGAACACAGCTTACAGTAAAACCCTGTTTTAGGTATCACATAGTCTACACCTAGAACACAAACATACATTCTTACAAATTCAGTAAACTGAAGATTTTATTAGTGCTCTCACATCTTTTTTCCCTGTTAAGATAATCTCAATGAGAACATGTGTGAGACGTCCAATATGGCCTAAGCTAAAACAAAAGAAAAACCATGGCATTAGTTGATAGCTTGTACTTAACTGATGTTTAAGGTCCCACCTAACTGTACTCTTTAAAAAAAGGAAAAAATACAACAGGTAAATAAAACAAAAAGCAATGTGAAAATCTCAGAAATCTTCATGAATAAAGAAGAGAACATATTGTGGAATGGTACAAAAGATAATACAAAACCAGGAGATTTGGGCAAGAGAAGAATTAAGATTTTAAAATTGTTATGCACAGAAATAAATTTAAAATACTGAGAAAGCTTATGTAAAACCCTTGTTTAATAAGAGTTTGGGTAGGGTGAGAGGGAGAGAACAAAGCCTTAAATCTCACCAACAGGAACATTGGGCTGATATGGTCCAATTCTATACTCATCCGGGATTGTATAGTCCTCCTTGTTTTCATCACTTTGGCTGTCTGCATTTTCACTTGTGTCTTTGTTGGGATCATCAGCATTCTCAGCAGATTCAGCTCCTGGTTCCGTATTTTCCTCATTTTTAATTCCATTTTCCAGCGCAGCTTCGTTTTCTTGATCAAGTTCCTCGATCTTGTCCACCTTAATTTCAACCAAACCATCATCATTTTTGTCACCAGATTTAAATGCCATGCCTGATTTACGAAGTTTCTGATGTTCCGAATCCTCCTCATCACCAACCTCATCTAGAGTGACAAAACCTTCCATATTCCCTGGGAAACGACGCTGTTAAGAAAGACAAATTTACTCTGCAACAATTATCCTGCAGCATCCCTTCCATCTGCTTTACTTGAAGGAAAGGGATAGCGTCTTTGTCTTTACTCATTCTCTAAAAAATAATGAGTTTTTTTCCCCAAAATCACTGATTAAAAAAACAAAAAATCTTGTCTTATTTCAAAACTAATTAAAGGCTTACCTCACATAAAGAGGAGAAAATAAGTACACTGACATTCTATACTTTCTGTGACTATTATACTGCTGGGAATGGATCAAAGAACTGATTTGATAAATGTAGTCAAATGATATTCTTTGGAAGACAGTATTTTGTAACTGTTGCTTAGGGAACACTCAGTCTAAAATAGTGTAGTGGTTAAAAAATCAAGCTCTGGAGTATGTTGGTGTAGGTCTAAATTTTGGTTTTGTCACTTATAGCAGTGTGACCACAGATTAATTCATTAACTTCTCCATGCCTCAAATTTCTCATTCATGAAATGGGGTCAACAAAGATATTTATTGCATATTGTTATTGTGAGGATTAAGTTAATTAGTATACACAAAGAGCTTAGAAAAATTCACAGCATGAAATAAATGCTATTATCAATAATTATCAGCTTTTAAGGGTGCAAACTTCAGCTGGAAAAATAACCTTAAGACTAAGTTATTTAACCAAATGTGGAGTTAGAAATTAAGTTTTCTAATATTTGGATGTTGCTGAGGAGGAAACAATGGACTAGGATTACAAAAATACCATTTCAAGAGCCACTTAACAGGAGGGGCTTCAAAGGTTTTTTAATGTTCTAACCCTTACTGTAGGTATAGTTAGCACACCATGGGTCTTTTGCTATTCTTTATACCATGTATGTATTTTTATGTTCATATTCACCTTATATTCAAGTTCCTCGATCTTGTCCACCTTAATTTCAACCAAACCATCATCATTTTTGTCACCAGATTTAAATGCCATGCCTGATTTACGAAGTTTCTGACGTTCCGAATCTTCCTCATCACCAACCTCATCTAGAGTGACAAAACCTTCCATATTCCCTGGGAAACGACGCTGTTAAGAAAGACAAATTTACTCTGCAACAATTATCCTGCAGCATCCCTTCCATCTGCTTTACTTGAAGGAAAGGGATAGCGTCTTTGTCTTTACTCATTCTCTAAAAAATAATGAGTTTTTTTCCCCAAAATCACTGATTAAAAAAACAAAAAATCTTGTCTTATTTCAAAACTAATTAAAGGCTTACCTCACATAAAGAGGAGAAAATAAGTACACTGACATTCTATACTTTCTGTGACTATTATACTGCTGGGAATGGATCAAAGAACTGATTTGATAAATGTAGTCAAATGATATTCTTTGGAAGACAGTATTTTGTAACTGTTGCTTAGGGAACACTCAGTCTAAAATAGTGTAGTGGTTAAAAAATCAAGCTCTGGAGTATGTTGGTGTAGGTCTAAATTTTGGTTTTGTCACTTATAGCAGTGTGACCACAGATTAATTCATTAACTTCTCCATGCCTCAAATTTCTCATTCATGAAATGGGGTCAACAAAGATATTTATTGCATATTGTTATTGTGAGGATTAAGTTAATTAGTATACACAAAGAGCTTAGAAAAATTCACAGCATGAAATAAATGCTATTATCAATAATTATCAGCTTTTAAGGGTGCAAACTTCAGCTGGAAAAATAACCTTAAGACTAAGTTATTTAACCAAATGTGGAGTTAGAAATTAAGTTTTCTAATATTTGGATGTTGCTGAGGAGGAAACAATGGACTAGGATTACAAAAATACCATTTCAAGAGCCACTTAACAGGAGGGGCTTCAAAGGTTTTTTAATGTTCTAACCCTTACTGTAGGTATAGTTAGCACACCATGGGTCTTTTGCTATTCTTTATACCATGTATGTATTTTTATGTTCATATTCACCTTATATACTTTTTTATTTGATGTGTTCTAAGAAAAAAGCTTAAAAAGCTTATACTGAAGTAGCTGATCTTATGTTCCTCAAATAGGGAAATTCTTTAAGTTTGACAATTTCTGAATGAGTGACTAATATTTTAAATATCTTGGATCAGTTATCTTATTGAAAAATCATATCCCATCTTTTAAAAATGAACTGGACTATAAGACTGTCCTACCTACTAGAACTTAAATACTACCACTGACAATACAGAAGTATATATAATTTTAAATCTTTCTCCTTCATTACTAAAAGGTTTCCTTTGTACTTTTTTTGCACCTATAATAAAAAGTCCTATTTAAGCTATTATTGCAGAGTTTAAATAGAAATGTTTATATTATGGTTCATAAGATTTTTTACTTATATAAATTATTTCTCCTTACTCTGACCCTGCTAGGATAAAAAATTTGACACATTTATCTGATCTAATTTTCTATTATAAGAGCAATATACAATGTTCCTTTACCTTTTTCAGCTTCTTCTTTGCAGCTGCTGAAGCACTGGCATTCGCATCCTTTTTCACAGCTTTGTCTGAAGGTTCCTTCTTCCCATCAGAAGCCACATCACCTAAATTGGCAAGATCTGTCTCATCTCCCACTGAACTGCCACTTTCTAGCAGTGCTGCTGCTTCCTCTTCATCTACAAGTAGCTCATCTTCAGATTCAAGAAGCATGTTAGGTTCTTGCTCCGCCTGGTCATCCTTTGTATCTTTCTCACCATCTTCACCTGACTTCTCTTCTTGTTCTTTACCTTCAGTTGTGTTTTCAGTCTTCTGAGAACCATCAATTTTGGATTTCTTATCACTTGGAGATTCTTTGCCATCTGGAGAATAAGACCTCTTTCTGAAATAAGAAGGATACTCTTCAATTAATTCTCCTGAGTCGGAAAGCAAAAACAAGTTTCACGTACAAGTATATACAAAATGAAATTACCGGGATTTATCTTTCTTCAGTAAGTCAATGCCTCTATTAGGGATCTAAAAGACAAAATTTTGCAATAGTTAGATAAGTTTATTAGAATATATTTGAAAAATTAATAAGTATCCAGTTAAAGCAACTGATGACCATCCTCTAATCTAATCTACTAAGCTTATTAAATCCTGTAACCATACATAGTAATTTTAACTGCTTATAGTCAGCAGTTCATTACTATCAACATTTCAATTAAGCATAATAAACATTTCAATAAAGATAATAAACATTTTTGGTAACAGAACTCCATTCAAATAAAATCTTAAATGAAACAGATGAAAGGAATACAGGCGCTTTTTAAAAAGAAGTTGTAACACCAGTTAAGAAACTTCCTCTACCAATGAAGAAAACCAAAACAAATGATGTCACTCCTTTCAATAACCAAATCATATATTCTTAGCATTAAAAAATGTTTAGAAGAATTTTATGGCTTGAAATTCTTTATAATGAAAAAAGCAAACTTTATAATGACAAGAAATCAAGTACCACATACCCTCAGTACCAATTTTTTATATTTTTCAGACAGGTCAACTTTCACACATCTCCCCTGAAACCAAAGGGCCTTTTTCAAACAGTGGTCAACCATTGCCATTGCGTCTTCTCTGGTCTCCATCTCAATAAAGGCCTAAAAAAAAGGAAGGAAGGAAAAGACAGGACATTATTTTTCAGAGAACTGTATAAAACTCTAGTGCTCTAAATCTTTTCTAGTTTTTTGTTAGAAAATTCTCTCTCTAGCAGAGACAATGGTAAAAGTTAAACATCACCCAATGAAATAAGGACAACTCATCAGATTTACAAAGTAGAACCACATATTAAACCACCTTATATGCAGATTTTCTGCAAAAAAAGTAAAGTAATAAACTTAAAAGCTATTACTCAAAATACTATAAGAAAATTAATTTAAAAATGTCTGGAAAGATTCAAACTCAGAATGCAATATTACAAAAGGGTTATCAAAAAGAAAAGATGCTGCTCTCCTTACTCTTAGTTTTTAAAATGAAAAAGTGGTCTAAGTAGGAGATAAATTGTGATTAAGCCTTCTCACACAATGCTGGTGTGATGATAAATTAGTCTTTTTTTTTTTGAAAACCAATTGGGTAGTATCAAAGTAAAGAGATCAAGTATCAGTATCCAAAATCCTAATTTTGAAATTTTATCCTTCCATTATATGCATAAAAATATGCAAAATCCACATGCTGCAAATTCCATACAGAGCAACACCAATGGTACAGCCAAGAAACTAGCAACTTTAAATACTGACCAACACAGAAGTTAAAATTTGCTACAGTTTACTTAATGGAATCATGTATAAAGTGGGAAAACAGTATAATATAATCCCAGTTTGTTTAATTAAGGAAAGAAGTACACTTAAACACATACATAGGAAGATCTTTGGAAGCAAACCCTGGAAACAAAGAGCTACCAGCCAAAGCAAGATAAGTTATCTTTAACGCCCAGTTCATGCTTTTTAATATTTACTCAATGTTTTATCTCAAGCATCTACTCTTTTATTTTAAAAATCACCATTTATCTTTGGCAAAGAAAGTTTATTTGTATGAGAAGATAAAATTACTCCCTCTGCTTTCTTCAGTGAAAGTGAGGATATACAAAAAAAATCTTAGAGACCTTTGAGAAATAATCTTTCTTAAAACCTCCCCTCCTCATGTACATTACATTACCTGACTTTTCATCCTCATCAGTATATAATTCTTTATTTTCCCATAAGGCTCAGCAAGCTTGAGGACAGCACTGTCAGAATAGCCAGAATGAGGTAAATTGCTGAGATGTATCACACGTCCAAGCTCTTGCTTTTGATCAAACTTCTGGTCTGGTTTCCCTTCAGGTTTCTTTAATTCAATAAACAGATAAAGTCAAATGTTGTTAAGTATACTATGATTATTAGTTATTAATAGTTAAGATTATCCAAGTTATTAGCAACAATTTTAAGTTAGTAAGTACTAAAATGATGTATTAAGTGGTTGGTGATACAAATCTGGAAAAAATAGGTATTACCTTTATTCTTTTATACTTCTGGGATAAATGAACTCTCACTGGCTTGCCGAACACTAATGCTGGTGTGGTTGTATAGTAATCCACTGCAGCCTGAGCATCTTCTGTAGTTGCCATTTCAATAAATGCCTGAAATTGCACACAAAAAAATTATGTTTACATTTATGTAGGTGTATGTGTATATATATATATATATATAGATTACCCGAAGTCTTTCCGGATATAGTTAATGACTAAATGAAACAGCATTTTTAACAATTTAAAAGCAGAAGAAAAGCCAAGAGCTGTTAACCTGTTTTATTAAAGGTCATCTCATAATTTTATTGCCTTCATGCTACTAAAACTATCATTTGTTCTACCTACTGGGTTTGAAATAATGATTTGGAACCACTTTGGAAAAGGGTGAAATGGCTTTCCAAAGAATTATCCTTTTATAGCCCTTACTGCAGCATAATAACAATTTTACTACTTAAGGACTGTAACTTACAAAGTTACTAACAATCCATTAGTACTAAATGTTGTATTACTGACATACTTCAACTATTACCATTTTCCTTAGTTTCATATTGATTTAAGATTACACATTTTTTTCCAAATACAAATTCTGTATAAATCCCTTTAAGAAATATTAGTGAATAAATACTACCCTTATTTCAACTCATACCTCATTAATTTTATTTAGAATCAGATGATTTGAAATGACCCCAAATGGTTCCACCAGCTGTAACAGTTGATATCTCAAGTTTTTCCAAATATTAGTGAATAAATACTACCCTTATTTCAACTCATACCTCATTAATTTTATTTAGAATCAGATGATTTGAAATGACCCCAAATGGTTCCACCAGCTGTAACAGTTGATATCTCAAGTTTTTCCCTCGCTGAAAATCCATGATGTGAACAACTCGACTAGTTTCCTATCCATCAGGGGGAAAAAAAATCAAGTCAGTAAATGTCCTTTAAAAGTAGTATTCAACAGGTTATGCATTAGAACTTTTATAGTCTAGTGTTAACTGGAACAGATTAGGTACTTAAAATAACATTCTAGAGAATTTAAAAGCTATATAGGAATCAAATGTAACTAGGAGTAAATTTCAAGTTTCAGACAGTCTCTGCACAGATTTTGAAATTGAATACCAGTACATATAACTGAACAGCAAAGTTCTTGAGACTCTGAATCAAGGTGAGATCTCTAGGGACTACTACTGGCATAAAAAAGTTTTAACTCCTGTCAGTCATAAAGCCTGATAGTTTTCACACTACAAGCAGTCTTCCTACAGTAAGAATAATGACACATTCAATTAGCAAGGACTTACATCAAATCACCCTGCCCCAAATAGCAAATACAGTAAGAGCAATAAGTATATATACTACTGACCACTCTGCCTTTCTGCATGTGTCTTGGTCCTTGCAGGTTCCCATTTCCAGCACCTTTATGAAGAAAAAGGATTTTTTCAGTCTTACAATAATTATAGTTGCTGTAACAACTTTTTATAAAAAAAAAAATAAAGTATCATTGATATATAATCTTATGATGGCTTCACATACACAACACAGTGGTTCAACATTCACCCGTATTATCAAGACCTCACCCACTCCATTGCAGTCACTGAACAGATTTATTTTAATTAAAAAACAGACACCTTTCAAACACAAATCAAAGGCTATTATTATAAACATCAAGTGGACCATGTCTTTTCATGGAATATTTTTGACATTTCAGTGGGCCTACTTTTGCTTACAATTACTGGACTTAATTTTCATGGTAAATGCTTTTAAAGAAAGGTAACACGGATTTTATAATCACCCAAATTTCCTCTTGGTCCAACTGCTGGTCCCCCAAGATGAAATGAGGGAGGTGGAGGTCCCAGAATTCCTGGTGCTGGGTTTGTAGACTGTTGCAACATGAATGGATCACCCCTAGTAATGTGAAGACATAAAATATAAAGCATGATAAAGAGGTCCATCAGAAGTAATTAAGATTTACTGTTAAACACCCCTTGTATAAATCTTTAGGGGCATTTATGTGTGAAGAAACTAGGAAAAATCTGTAGTAGCAATAAAATAAAAATTACCAAAAAGGTCTCTAAAAAGTCTTTTTTACCAAACTGTAATATTCAATAATGAAATTCAGAAAATAATTTGTTTACAAAACATTGGAAGTTTAACCTGAATTCCTTATATTGACCTCCGTAACAAACAACAGCTTAAAATTTTTAACTTACATTGTGTGTCCTGTATCATTGTCAGGATTCCATTCTGGGTAGCTTTAAAAAGACCAGAAAATTAACTTTAAAATAAAACTGTCCTTTTCACAAAGTAGCCTTGTTTGGCCTTTAAAACAGAGATTATTAGTAAAGTTATATGAGGATCTAAGGGTTAGAAATATCACAGTTTAAAACATGTCATAGGTATTTCCGAAGGAAATTCAGAACTTCAAGTTTATCCAAATGAATGAGAACTTATTCTGTATTGCCTGAAAATGTAGGTAATGTATGTTGAAATTAGATTTTGCTATATTTGTTAAATTCTAAGGAGGAAAAGTGCTGCACGAGGAACTGGAAATGTGGGTTACATAGGAAAACAAGAACCAACCAAAGATTACCCTTCTCCAGTATTAAATACCAAGAGCAGAGTTGACCTGTAGCACCAGAAAGAAAGGATAGCCCGAAGAGAGCTAGGCATATGTGAAAACTGCCACTCCGGTGAACTATGGGTGTGTGCATTGCCTAGCCAGAGAGGCTTCTTTAAGAGTTCAATTTCATTATAGCAGCTTAAACACAGAACCAAAAGTATCTCAAAAGCAAAAACTACCTCTTGAAGGATTTTGCTTGACAAGTAACTTGTACCTTCTAATGCCTTTTCTGTATATTCTAAAATTTTAGAGCACATTATTATATAGACAGAACTCTAAGTCCATTAACATGGACTATCTTTAAGTCTATTAAAAATCCTTCAATTTGTATAGAAAGAGCCAATGTTTATTCACCTTTAAAAATAGTGTTAAATAACAAAGTACCATTATCACTGCATCTAATAGTCCATGTGAGACTGCAGATACGAACATTTCACTTGTAATTAGTATTGCCTAGACAGTATCAACTATGCAGTAGTAACAACGTGGATATTACAAGCAAATGATGAACTCCCCAAAACCAATCAATGGCTGTTTCTCATTCACGATAAAGATGCTTTAAAGGTATTTCAAACTCCTACATTTCAAGAAGAAGCTGGCACCGACGACTGTGACTTGCTCCATTGATATGTTGACTCCACTCCTGCAGCAAAGTAAATTAGTAGAATTAACAAAAATAAAGCTAAAATACTTTCATTTGAACCATTCAAACTCTAGGATGTTAATCTATATGCAATATCATAGCCTATACACATACCTGCCCATTCACTAATCATACATTAATTTAAAACCATTTTTCTGAATCCTTGTAGCTTGATCCTGCCCTCAAATACGCCATGCACATTCTTGGAAAAACTGGTTAACTTGGTTAACATACTAACAGACTTTATAAGGAAAAGATATAGAGTTAATAAAGATCAAGAATAGTAACTGACTCTGAGATCAGCTAGACATATACTAATTTCTTTGGACCAAACAAAATTATTCATGTTCTATCTTTAGAACTGCTTTTTAAATAGAGCTCTAAGTATGACAAGACATCCATGCTTTTATCTACTTCTCTAGAAAACATGCTGTAAATGTGAACAATTAGTTAAAAAAGGAATCTTTTCATTCCATCCACACTTGAGGTATGCTCCATTGTACTACAGCCATAAAAAGCTAAGATGAATAAACAGGAATGGCTTTTTTAGAAAATGCTCCCTTACTGATCAAAAAAACTAAGTTCCCATGTATTTCCAAAAAAGATAAAGCAGCGTAACTTCAGGAATGTCTGTTTCCATATTTCAGGGAGGGAAATACTACAATCCATTAATGTTTGTGACTCTGTTATTTTAAGTTTGAAGGGATTAAGTTTTTTCCTGTTTTATGCAGTTTCCTTTCTCTAGCTAAAAATCCACATGTAAATTATTAATGTTTTAGGCAATATAAGAAAGAGGAAAAGTAGGCTCTGCTGTCAAGACTGTCCAGATCCATTCCCAAGGTGCCATTTAGTAGACTGAATCCTTAGTACAAGTTAAAATTCACTGTGATTCAACATTCTCCTGGGGTTTTGTCAAAAGCAAATGATTTAATAAAGGTAAACTGCTTATCAGAACATTGCCAGGCACAAAGAAAGTGCTCAAAAAAAGTGAACTATTACACTGCTAATAAAACTATCTTCTTTTACAGTTCCTCCTTTACAAATGTTATTGTTTCACAAATTCCCACAAAATTAGGCAACTTTTATTAACATCCACACTACCTAACTATATTCAGAATATAAAATATGATCAGGCAATGTTTTTAAAAGGGGGTCTCAACTAGAGCTGAATTAAATAAAGAACCAAAATATAAGAGATACCTTTTTGAGAAGCTTCAGAATGGTATTTTATAAACAGGATCCTAATTTTGAAAAACTGATTTATATCACAACAGTTTACATACATTCCTCTGCCCTAGTAACTAAAATTGCATAAAAGAACTAAGAGCACAAACAGAAACATACTTCTCAGAACTTGGGGAGCCTACCTTTCAAAGACAGATTGTCCTTTGAAGATAATAGCTAATAGCTAAGGAACTCGAGATCTCTTCAGCTGGCTCTACAACCAGTATTTGGGATATAAAAAGTTTACACTTGCAAAGCAACAGACCATTGACTTGTTTAAAGCGACTTTAAAAATGGCTCCAAAAAAGTGGTGCCATACGTAAAACTCACAAAATTCAGAAGAGGGATTAAACAAATACCTTAACTTACAATTTTCTTAACTAAAATGAATTCATATTTAATTAAAAATGTCCTTCAGAAGCAGTTTGTGAGAGAGGAGTAAAGTTACCAAAATCAGGCAGGCTTTCAATCTACAGGAGATGGAAAGGGTATCTAGTTGAACAGAAATTGTTTATATCCAACCCCTATGCTCTTGCAGGGTTCAAACTTACTGATTGTTTTTTCAAAGTACTAGAAGGCAGGCCAAGATCAAAGGATCAGTTATGCACCTCCTAAACCCACCCATTACTTATCTCCACTACCACACCTAGTCTTTTACTGTTTGGTTTAAGATGAGGATTAAGAGTCAAAAAGGTTTTTAAAGAGCCTATTATCCTTGGATTATACATTGATTCTCAAATCAGATTAGTAAGAATAGGATTCATTTTTTTGAATTCAAAGGTTCTAGAGGAAAAACTACATTCATCTTGATGTCTTTGAGATATCTATATCATATTAAAGAAAGGATAATTTGGAGAAACACTTCAGGAATGGTAGAATAAAGAATACCTTAAGGGCTTCTACAGTAATACTAAAAGGAAAAATATAAATTCAAATGACAAGACAGCAAAAGGGAAGTAGTGGGCAGTTTTCTTTAAGTGAAAGGAATTTGAGGGAACTTTGAGGTTGGGAAAGCAACTTGACATTCTAAAATGACCTAGAAAGAAATAAAAGCAACACCATCACTAAAAGTCACTTAAAGTATCAAAAATAATGACAAATTAATGTTTTTCACCTAAAAGTTTCTTATTTCATAGTAAGAAATAGTTTTGACCATGTAGACTATTTAGTGTAACCACTAAGTGAAAAGAACAGATTTTCCAAGTTATGCAGCAATACCAGAGAGCAGGATTAAATGTTTAAAAAATTTTCATTATCTACTTTCACCAAAGGAATTTTCTCTTAAAGTCATTGTTTATAAACTGTATAATGTTTATATGTAAACATTATAAAATGAGAAGGCATGAGAAAGAACCACTGCTAAAAGCTAATATTTAATTATTTTTCAAAAATGCAGATACCCAGAAAACACCAGCTATGTTAAAGAAACTGTAATACATTAAAAGAATCCAAGGCTTAAACTTAAAATTGGTTCCATTCACAAATATGAATTTTGTAAATCAAACAAAAAGGGTCTCTAAAATAATTCTTAAATGTTCCCAATGTGACAAAATATTGAAACTAGGGCCTAAGAACTCTTACAGATTTAAAAAAGTACCTCTTGAACTAGAGTAGGTAGGGTATCTTACTCTTGAAACCAAAGCTTCGTATTTTTAAATTTCTTTTGTTAATTTAGATCCATTTACTATCACTATTTATTAATATTATTGTTCATGAATTAGAAGGTAGCAAAATTTGGAGAAAATAATAGCCATATATAAAAAACAGAAGAAAATATAACCATACATAAAAAACAAACTATTCTGATTAAAGCCCTCTCTTGGTTTTCTTGTGTTCCTTTACTGAAATCTTCTTCAATGTTGTTAAATTACTGCTCAAAGTCAGGACAAGGAGACTTCCAAGAACAGCTGATTTGATGACTCAATCAGCAAAGATTTTAGCCACTTACAATCACTTTCATTTGAGACACGGTAACTAGCTATTTTCCTTGGAATTTAGAGATGCTAAGAACATTTATCATATTGCCTGCCATTTTTAGAAATAGGCAAGAACAGAAAAAATTTTGACTCACCAAAATTTTATGGACATTTTCATTAAATCAACTCCCACCAGACCTCAAACTGCAGTACTGAATAAAAACTAAGTTCCATCTAGTATATCCAACAAATTTGTAAAAAGACAACACCAAACACACCTAACAAAATTTCTTGACTTTTATAAGTTTGAGGTACTGTGTCTTAAATGGAAACTAATCTATCAACTTAAATTTAGCATTTGATGTTTTTATTTGTATTAAAGATTAAAATATTCCTTGTTTGTGTAAACTATACATTAATTCAATTTTTATATTATATACATATATTTAGTTAAGAATTACTTTTAAAAGACATTTTTCAAAGTCTTCTGTAAATCTGAACAGTAAGTCTCCTCTCTCAAATATCTGAGACAAAAATACTTGAGACCCAAACATAGAAAAGGGAGTGATTTGTAATAGTTTATTTTCAGAGTACTAAAAATAAATCTCTAATGAGCCATGTGATTTCATTTGTTCAAAATCACTACTCACTTAAAAATGCACTTAAAAAGGATAGATATGAAAAGGAAATGACCCTTCCAGATGTTACTGTGATGAAAAAACCCTGTAACAGTAACCATCACATCAATTTCATGGCAGCAACTTGTTCCAGTTAACTAGAGTAACTATACAGCACACCAGGAAAAATGGAAGGTCACAGATTATAGATAAGTGGAGTGCTGTAATGTTGACTTTAATAGTCAAGTGCCCTGTATATTAAGGAAAAAAAACAAGTGAGAATGAGTAACACTGAAAACATTGAAAGAGAAAGGACAACATATTTAAAAAGGGCATTTTGAAAAAGTTCCCATTTTGCCAGATGAGATAATTAAAGCAAAGGAGAATTAGATTATTTAATTTTTTTCTCAAATGACTATACCAGAAGTTTAAGCCTAAGTCAGAAAAAGAATATGCTTATGAGGAACACAGAGCAGGATACTGCAGTAGTTGATTTTTCCAAGTCTCTAAAGGGATAGATGTAATATGGGATAATAAAAAGTGAGTTCTGATGTTTAAGAAAGTCGTGGAAAAGGAGAAAAAAAATGATGAAAAATTTCAGTCATAGTATGAGAGTTTGTGTTAAAGGGAAATTAAAAAAGGAAGAATGAACTAATCTAAAATATGAACATACTGAAACAAACACCAGGGCTCTACATTAACTCTTTCCCTGTAGCCACAGATAAGGAAAAAAAGAGAATTGTTCAAGAATACATCTTTACTACATACAAATCAGCAATCAAGACAGATGGAGAGCTGAAATCTAGCATCCTAAATGGCAGAACACATTGACTGCAAAAAAAAAAAATACTTAAAACAATTCAACAAAGCAGACAAAAAACCTGCTTAAATATATGATTAAGAAGAACATATTGATGCCAAAAACCAACAAGATAATCCCAGTGGATGACAGCTTTGTGGCCAGAAGTAATCTAGGCAGATTGTATTAATGTAAAGCCCTGGTTTAAAATGCTCAAAAACAATTACCTTCCAAATAAAGTACTCTCAAAAGTATAAAAATTCTTGATCAACTCAGTGTCATCAGACTACAGGATTAGAGTAAAAGATATAGGTAAATACAGAATAGGCACTACAATGTAAAAGAAATTAGAAGTATCTGTTGCATTAACTCACCTTATTAGAATGAACTGGCAAATCACATATAGAGCACAGATGGGGATAACCCTTCGGTAAGAGTCCATTGGAAGTTTTCAATATTACTACTTGGAGGAGCGCCCCTCTTTTTCTCAAAGAGAGATCTCTCTTGTAAGGGGCCAGGACCACGCCCCATTCTCTCATACTCACTGTCAAATTTATGATAGTTATGTGAGGTCTCACCAAAAAAAGAATCATCCCTACACCTTTCTCCATCTCTTAATCTGTCATCTTCATAATCCATTCTCTCATAATAACCAGATTCTTGAGAACGACTTCCATGGTCATAATCAAGCACTGGATTCAGACTAGGACCACGATCATCAAAACTATCTCTTCTAAAATGCCTTTTTTCTTCCCAATCATCCCTAGGTACTCTGTATGGTGGCTCCCGTGTAGCAGATCTGCCATCTCTACCATAACTCAATGTAGGGCCTTCTTCAGTTCTCCTCCTTTTAAGCTGTAGAAGGATTTGGGGCAAATTCTCAGGAGTAATCTTGTCCTCTGGATAATGACTCAGTTCATCTAAGTCTCTAGCAGACAGACCAAAGCTGGCCAAAATGTTACTGGCCTGGTCTGCATCTCCACGGTGTTGAGAAGACAAAGGGAGTGGACCTCTACTTCCAATGTTAAATATAGACTGCAAATTATGGGAAGAAGTACTAGCAGAAGACAGTACACTATGAGCTCCTAGTTGATTCAATGAAGAACTCATTCCAAGATTCATTAAACTAGTAAGGTGTGCAGTACCCTGGTTCATCCTTCCAAGAGATGCTGGCATACTTAAAGACTGGGTAGCAGCAGCAAGAAGGCCTATTCCTGCTGCAGACAGGTCACGCCCATGACCCTGTGAGTCCCTACCGAGAGATGACTGCTGGAATGACTTGGACATTGTAGAACTATCTCTTGTCTAGTTTATAGGTTAAAAAAAAAAAAATTTTTTTAAGATGGCCAAAAAGAAAGCTCAAACTAGAAAACTAACTTTGCTTCAAAAAAATGGTAACGCCAAGAAAAAGGATCAATAAGGACTGTAGAATCTTCTTCAAGCTGAGAACCAGCAGACAACTCTGTAGAAAAATAAGCAATTTTAGTCATAAATCCCTTTAAGTAGATGCTGTTTTTTTAGAAAAAAAAACTTATGCATCATTTTGATTTAAAAAAAAACATTCAAGATCTCAAACTTACAAGGAATTTATTACATATCTTAAACAGATTCCAGAAGTATGCAGAGCCTGCATATAGATATTTAAAAAGTAGTCTTTCATGCTAAAGTTTAACTATTAAAGGGAATTTCATACTGAATTCAAAAACATTTCAATTGAAGGGTTAGATGTCTGAGTACATCAAAATTTTAATAAAAATATAGATGGGTCTCTTCTTTTAGAAGAATAAAAATACACCCTACATATGATGCTTAAATTCTAGAAGACTAAAAAAAAAAATCAAGGTCAGCAAGTCAAAGATGAATCAGTTGTATTCTGCTTTAGAAAATGAGACCTATTATCACTATCAGAATGAACCAAGTAAAATCACAAGTAAATGAAGCTTAGGTGTCAAGTACCTAGTATAAGACCTAAGACCAAACACAACAGTTGAGACCTTCATGCCACCAAATCAATCCGAGGTGCCTGAGGTGAAGACAGATGTGAAGAAAAATAAGTGACTTCCTACCGTTTAAGGATTTCTGCACAAATTTAAGCCATATAAGTAACTGCCTTCTTACTGCCCATCCCATAGGCAGTGCTTCTTTCATTTCTAATTTTATAAGGCAAGGAGAAGTATGGTCAGTACAGACATAGGAGATCTCCCAAGAAAAAAAAAATAGGTACAGGAAGTATAGGTGATTTAAAGAAGTGAAACTCCAAAAGTTAGCATCCACCAAAGCTCATTTAATGCTCAGGGCTATATCACCTCTAGAGCTCAAAACAGGTAAAAATGAAAACAAGATCTTGCTTACACAGATTTCCATAAACTTTTCACAAGAACACCCCAATCCACCTGGGAAATTTAAATTCTGAATACAATCCCCAAAGATGTGTTTCTGGATGAAATTATTTTCATTTTCATTCTTACATCATTATTTTACCCAAGAGATTGTTACATAAGAATTTCCAAAACATTTACATGATTCTCATAAAATATTAAATGACACATACAACAAATGTCCTTGATGAAATAATTTTTTATAACAACTACACACTGAAGTGTTAAATTGTTTGCTACAGAATTCTATTAGGAAGCATTGCTAAGTTTTATGTTTGCTCACCCATTCACCCAAGCTTTGGTAGTTTAATATATTAAACTTTATTACTACAAAAACCAGGTAATATTCAATAGTTACAAGTCCATTATGGGACCAATTCCACCAATGATAGAATAAAGTAAGGAAACACTGGACGAGTACAGTGGCAGAGGAAGTATAAAAAAAAAAAGTTGCAGGCAAGACTTAGATTTTACAAAAAGGTGTAACAAAGTTAAAAAGACACAGAAATGCTATCAATGGTGACTAGAATTACAGAGGTTGTTTTTGCACACCAAGAAAGATGAATTTGAAGACACCAAAGAAACTAGTTCTAGATGAGACCCACTATGTAAACTACTTAGGCTTTAAGATAAGATTAATAAAGACAAGAGTAAGTGAACTTTGGATGAGTTTCTTTGGTAGGTCTTATAAATGCCATACAGAATGGCAATTGAAATACTGTTTAAAACATTGGTAGGACCCTCTAAATTTTCATTAACCTTTCTTTATTTTAAAAGATCAAAACCCTAGAGGGTTTTTCAAAATCAGTATTTCAAAAAGGTTATTACTAATTGCAGTTTTGCCCTTCATGTTACAGCCAAAGCTTTCATTCAGGAAAAGCCAGTTTTTCGAAAGACTGTTTTTTTCCCCTCAGATAAATCATACAATAGTATAATGATCATGTGTAAATTTTTAAGTTGATTTTATAAGAAAGGATTGTTGGATTGCAGAGATCTCAATTACTTTTCCTTGTAGTGTATATGAAAATGGGTGGATCTGCAAAAAGGAAAGGGGGAAGAGAAGTAAAGGTAAAAGATGATAATCAAGACAAAACAGAAAATGGATACCAGAAAAACTCAAGAGAAAGGGCAAGACAAACAATGTAAATCCCATGACAACTTGTAATTTCTTAATGACCTTAAAATTTTCAATCCAGCCCCACACAGACACAATCATCACAGGAAAGTTACTTCAGTCAGACTTTTAAACACAAATGAAATTCTCAAAATTTTTTATTAGAACAAAGAAACTGAGAGCAATCAGACATGACAGCACTGTTCAAAGAGCATTTATGAGAACGGTTTCCTTTCAGTGTCTTTGGTCAGTGGTGAACATAAGATGACAAGCCACTGGTTCATTTAAAAGCAAGACCTACCTGCCTTTTATTAAAGTCAGCATAATACTGAGATTTTTATTAATATTTTTAAAAAATTAGCTTCCTTTACTGTTTTCCCTATTATAAAAATGCCTTTTCATAGACATTAAGTTGTAGTAGTTCCTTTGAGATAACTAATCTACAATATAACGACAAAATCCAATTTTCCCCTTTAAAATCTTTGTGAAACAAGTTCTAGGTGCCCATCAGTACAGAACTTTCACTTCCAAAAAAGAAAGTATCCCCACTTCAACCCCACATCAAGATTCGTTTAAAAAAAAAAGAAAAAGAATTAACATTATCCATAATTAAGCTTCACAAATGCCATTTACTACGAACTGGTATACAAATTCTTAATGAATAGGCTTAGACCTCGCTTTTATGGACAATTCCAAATAATTAACATGGAACTTAAACCTAGTTCATGACGTTAATTGTAAATGCTACTAAAAACGTTAACTTTTCGTTCCACATGTGATTATCTGTATGCATCATTAAGAAGTAAGTTTCATTTATTAACATTCAACCCCCATTCCACGATTAGCTACCTAATATTCTTTACTGGATTTATTTTCTTCTCCACCTCAAAGCGAAATGCTAAAATATTTTAGAAAGTGAATAAAGCTTAACACATCCAGAAAGTTTGTAACAGAAACAAAATATGGTTGCTCCATATATAGATGTCCTCTTATAAAATCGAAGATAACCCATACAATTATGTCAATTAGTGCTATTATTCATTCTTTCAGAGGGTTATTTAGCATGATTACTAAAATGAAGAACCAGACTTTTGTTGTTCTAAAGATATTGCAAAAAACTCTTCGGCTTCTAATTCAAAAATACTAAATGCTATGTTCTAAAGGTATCTATTGACTACTACTATATCGATCTTTAGCTATATTCTCAATTATGTGAAATAACTACTTGGGAACAACTTATTTTAAGATGATATAATCATAAAAGCTTGTAGAGATACTCAAGAACAAGCATTTTCACGCTGACATTATTTTAACCCTCTAATCTCATATTAAGAACTTACAAGCAAAAACTAGAACAGTGGTTTCTTACAGTATTTTCCCCTTCTGAATTAAAAAGTTATAAGGGTGAAAGAAATGTTCACATTTTCCAAATGTCTGTCAAGGTCAAACACCACTGTAATTTGTTAACTTACATGTGAAAATGTGCCAATAAGTTTAAGATAGCAACTAATACAGTAAAAATGTACTAAGCATGTCACTGATAGATGGCAGGGAGAGGTCATTATTAGAAATTTCAAAGAAGCATCATCTAGAAAGTTAGCTGCTTCATTTTTGCCATCAATCACACAAAAGCAATGTTTCTTCTGCTCACAACTTGTAAATCAAGCACCTGACTCATTTCCAATTAAAGTTAGGTTAATTATTCCTTAAGATTTTCTCACTTTCATTTTAATGTTAGTATATACCACTACGTTTTCTCAATATATTTTATAACATATTAACTGTTTAATTTAAAATGGATTATCTGAGGAACTATTCAATTTTTAAACACAGAACCTGAGCCACTTTCAAGCCTTATTCTATAATCTGTGTTCTTCAGTGCCAGCTCATCTTTAAATAACTTACAAGGTTTTTTTTTTTTAAAAAAAAATCACTAGTGCAAATAGTAAACCCCTTAGGCAATACAAATTGCAGCTCTATTAGTTGGTTTTGTATAAAGCAGGTATGTGGCTCATCACACAATAAGAAAGCTACAACATTATACAATACAGTGTCAAAAAGACTGAATAATATTAACTTTTAAAAAGTGCTTAAAGATTATTGCTCTTAATCCACTTCACAGACCTGTATTCAACTTCTAGCCCATTTCTTGATCCTTAGGCTAGTGATAGAAGTGTTGCAGTGCCTTC